ACAACTCCTTTTGTCTTTCTTAGTTATTAGCTATTGAAGTTGGGAGGTTTGGAAAGCTTTGATAATTTTAACGAATGTTTGCAAATGTTTTAGTGTTAATAGATCCATTTATATTGAAACCATAATCTAGGTAGATTATGACAACAAAATATAATTTGCTTTCTTATAGTGACATGAAATAAGAAAAATAAAATTTGTAGTGATTGTTTCACAAACAAATCATCCATTATGGTTTCAAGAAAAGAATCAATTACAATACATTTTAGTTATGCCACTTCATAGGGGTGTACTTACTTTCAAACTCCATTTAAAGATGTAGTACTACTAACTCAACTGAATTAATAATCTGCTTTATCTGGTAAATTTCCTTTATTTTTTAGAAAAAGTTTAATTACCATGATAAAATTAGTCAACCCTCACAACTAGGCCATTACAAATAATTTTAAGTTGGGGGCACACACTCTAATACAGAAATCTATTACACCTTTCAAACTAAGTGTTCAATGAAATGTTTGAAGATTCTTTTAAGAAAGAGATAAAAGCTTTATTTCCCCAAGTTCTTCCATTTTGTAAAAATAAATGAAATCTAGAAATGGCTATGTACATTTCTGTATCCTCACCCATATTCTTAAAAAATAAAACCTAACACAGTTGATTGCTGCTTGCAAGACCTAAGAATGCTAAAGAGAGAAGCCATTCTACTTTGAGGATTTTTAAAAATATCCCACTTCAGCAGGCTATTATGTAATTACTAGTGTTCGCAGTTTAATTTAGAAGTGATTTAAAGGAAGCAGCAGCAGTGGAGAACAGTTTATTTTCATGAAAATACCAGTAGATGTCAGCAAAAGCTAAGGCAGTCACATGTGAATTTCGCACAAGGATGTTAAGCTATTTCTAGCAGGGTTACCATAATATAAGTAATAATCTCTAATTACCACAAAGCTCAGCCCAGATAAGACATCTCAGTTTTATACATTATGACTCAACTTGTAATTACCTTTTTGGTGATGGGAGGGTTGGGAGAGGGCACAGTGGGATCTCATTTTTCAGGGTAGCAACAGCTCTTTCAAAGAACTAAACTGTTCTGATAGTTTTGTTCACAAAAACTGTCTTGGTATAACAAACCAAAAACTAAATAAACTTTAGTCATCCATCTTCACATTAAAAAAAAATCAAATGGTTTACAGAATACTTCGTATTACTTGAGCACTCTAATATTCTTGGGTTCTGAACCTGGAATATTTGTGAGTACGTAAATACATGTATTTTTCTGGGGAGATAGTTCATAGCTTTATTCAGCTTCTCACACAGGTCCTTGACCTCCCGAAAGTTAAGAAACTATGCTGTAACTTACCAAAATTATATTAATTAATAAATCACTGTTTATATATACTTGAAAATTCATCTGTTAAAAACTACTTGGTTGAATCCATGCCAGGAAAGCAGTTATAGAATAGACTGTCAGGTTGTGGAACAGCTTGTTATACAGAATTAGACATGATATTTTAAAAATAGAAAAATCCTATGTATGATATTCCAAAAGTAGTTATTTTCTTATATTTGTAAAAAGCAAATAGGAAAATGATCATATGGAATGCCATTTTTTTATCTAAATATATACAAGCATTTCTACTCTAAAATCAATATTTGTGGTTAAATGAATATTTTAGAAGGAGCAGCATAAAGCTGGTTCCTATGAAAGATGTCCCAAATGTCCAGCTTTGCTAAACTGCTGTACCACTCCATCATCTCTAACATTAACTAGTCCTGCTCCCCTCAATACTCTCCCTCCTGTCTTTAGGCTTGGTACGTAATTTGCTGCAATGTCTCACAGGACTCACAAACTGCACTTACTGTTAAATGGTTTATAAGTAACAGGGTACAACTTGGGATCAGGATCAACTTGGAACAGTGAACAACAACTCAGGATGCAGTTCCTCCATCAGGACAGCTTCTTGCCCCCTGCCGCTGGGCCCTGCTGGGGGCCTTCTTGGGCAAACGTTGTACTTCTTAGCTCCGTGGGTCGGCAAGCACCACAGCAGCCATCCTGTGCAGGTCTCCTGATTCCTGCTGTCTCGCACTACCATCTCTCGCTGTCTTCCGTGCTACAGCTCCTTTCTCTCTGTCTCCGTTTAAGCCTAGTGGGATGGCAAAGCTGTCCAATTCCCTTGTTAGGGTTCCATACACATTATTTGATGGTTCCACTCCCACAAAGTTGCCACACACCTTATTTATGTTATTAGCAAGCTATCCAAGCCCCATGGTGGGCCACAAGCACCTCATTTACATAGTAGCACCCAGTCATTTGGTAGGAGTTAAAAAACCACGGCGAGAAAGGCCATATAAAAGCAATCCATCACACTGCAGTGGTCTGATATTAACTTCTCCACTCCAAAAACCAAAACCAAATCGGTGGCTGTCCAGCCAATTCCCACTCATAGTGACCCTACAGAACAGAGTAGAACCACCCACCCCACAGGGCTTCCAAGGCTGTAAATCTTTATGGAAGCAGATTGCCATATCTTTCTCCCATGGAGTAGCTGGTGGGTTTGAACTGCTGACCTTTCAGTTAGCAGCCTAGTGCTTTAACCACTATGCCATCAGGGCTCCTTCAACTTCTCCGCTAGGGCCTGCATTTTAGATTAACAGCGTTCTAAAATAATTTAGCTACCGTGCATCATATTTATGTAAAATAAAAAAGGATCTAGAGGATTTCATTGTATTCTATATTTGTCAGTTATATTAAAAAATAGTAAGTGAACTTGTGATGTAATTTTTCCAGACACTGCATTCATTACAGCCATATTCTAAATCAGATATACCGTTCTCTGTAAACATTGTCCATGCTCATTAGAAGTTTGATTTGCTAAATGGACATGATGAAATCATTGACAAAACTGTCAATAAATTTTACTTTGAAAAATGTAATTATTACCAATTTTAGAAATATAACACAGAAATTTCTATTAAGGGGATCCTGAAATATAGTAATTTGAATTCTAAAGTCATTTATTCCATCAAGAAGATATCTGCTTTAAATAAAGAAATTGTTTTAAATTTGTCCCTCTAAAGAACCTAAGCAGTGTACTAAATTATACTTAGAAGCAAGAAAAATGACATTGGTAGTAATGCAATTAAGAAAGCCTAATGACCGTGGAGGGGCCTTGATGGCAGCAGTTAAGTGCTCAGCTGCTAACCGAAAGACTGGTGGTTTGAAGCCACCATCTGCTCTCTGGGAGAAAGATGTGGCAGTCTGTTCCCATAAAGAGCACAGCCTTGGAAACCCGATGGGGCAGTTCTACTCTGTCCTATAAGGTCACTATGAGTCAGAATCAATTCCATGGCAATGGGTATGAGTATAGGTAATGATCCTGGAGTTCCTGGATGGTGAAAACGGTTAAGTGCTCGACTACTAACCAAAAGGTTAGTGGTTGAAATCTACTCGGGCACCTCTCTACTTCGGAAAGATCACAGCCACTGAAAACCCTATGGCACACATTTCTATTCTGAAACACATGGGGTTGCAGTGAATCAGAACCAACTCTATGGCTACAGGTTTAGTTTTTTAGGAGGAATGATTCTGGAAATTCAGATAAAATTGGAGTCTACTTGTATTTTCTAGAACAAAATATTTCTTTAATTCAGAAAAAAAAAAAAATCTAGTAGTTATAAGTATGTAACCTCTTTTTGCCAGTGCTTAGTTGAAACGTATGGACTAAGGAATTGATAAACTAATAGTACTTCTGATAACCAGCTTAAAAATGACATTTAATTCCATGGCATTTCATCAAATAAAACCAGTCATTTTAAAGAGACAGCAAAAGTACAGGAATAAAAATAAACCTCTAATGGTCAATTCAATTCAACTGGCTGTGTAAGTTTAATGTTTCAATGGCTACAAAATATTTCAAATTGCTAAAAGCTCATTTGATTGAATTGGAATACTATATTTAGGGAAAGAAAAACTAAACAAAAACCTAATTTAGTGGCAATGCCCAAGGTGATAGAAGTTTTTAGACAGAATCACAGGTAGCCATCTTAGCAAAAGGGCAGAGGGAAGATACCAGCTTCACCCTCATCCTCCAAATAACACACACTGAAACTGCAATCAATTTCCAAAACATTTATTTATACCTTATGTCTTAATGAGTGTTTCTCCACCTTTTTTCATTATCACTTCATTAAGAGCCTTTTTAGGCCATTTATTCTAATTGGCCCAACCTCCCATAAAATTTTAATACCGCAGATATGTCTATCTACTTATGTACTATGTATATATCTGGGCTTTATACATACATAAAAAGATTTTTTTGTCCCCTCCAAGAACAGACTTCACCAAGAATGCATGCTTAAACAATGAAAGGTTTGTAATATTAACACATTTATTTTTATTTGAAAAGTAGGGAGAATAAAATTATATGTATTAGCACTTAAATATGTAGACTATTTCCAAAATAGTTTAACACTCAACTATTCAGTTGTATCAAAATCACTTTTTTCTGAAGTCAGGCACTGTTGTCAGCTGTAGTCAGTCCTCGTTTTGCACAGTAGGGTGGGACCACAAAAATGGTTATGTAAAGCAATCTTAATAATCAATAGGGTAAACTATAATTGCTCCATGGCCTTTATACATTTTTGTCAAAATATTAACAATTCTTATTGTTGGTTATAAATGTATAAGGAGATTAGAAAAAAACTGTAAAATACTTAGTACACTGTAATTTCTAACATTAGAAACACTGACAACTAAGGTGTTTTATTTCACTGTAAAAACACTAATCAAGAGTAGTGTAAACATGCTTGCTTTCGTTTTGTCGAATAGCTTATGATACTAAGTGAGCATCTTTTGTACACTTTGGCAAATTTTCATACTCCTTTTAAGTTTGGATCAACTTCTGACATTTCTTTGCGCTTTCAATGTTGTAAAATATCCCCAAGAGTTCCTTTAACATGACTTTTTTTCTGGCATCACTTCCTCTGGTGCATATTCATCCTTTTCATCATAACTATTTTCCTAATTTATGTTGATAAATTTGTCTTCACTGAGTTCCTCTGGCTGCACATTGAGAGTGTGGCTCTAGATATCTGGCTACATGTCTAGAGTCTCTAGAACAGCAGCAGTGTCAACATTCTCATGATCAGCTGTTTCTTTTATAGCTCTACTCATGTTTGCTTCATGTTTCCCTTACAGTGTTATCACTTTTCATTTCTTTGCTGCACCATATATGTTGGCCAATTTTCTCTTTCAATTATCCATTTTTGTAAAGTGTCACACTCACCCTTTGCTATGTGTGAACTGAACAACGGATGTGCAGTGACCAATCACTGAAAGAGTTTAGAAGTGATGTGATCACTGCTTATAATGTGTATCTGTTACTTATTTAGTGATCTGTGGACTGAAGAGTTAGTAGGGAAATGTGTACTTTATGCAAACTACTCACAGATAATATACTGTGGTAACTGAAATTTGAACACTGTTGTTATTTAACTAAAGTGTGATAACTGAAATTTGTGCATATTGGAACCGTGCAAATCGAGGACTGCCTGTACCCTGCACTCTACTTGTTTACATTGACCCATTGACCCAGACAGTTTAGCTTAAAGCAGACTGCCCATCTAAATTTAAATCAAATAATGCATCTGAAAGCACCCCTAATGCAATATTTGTGCACTTCGAGGTGCTTTTCAAATCTGTTATTGGCAATAGAGTTTAAAATATTAGTATAGCTTTAGAATTACAGAATTTTATAATAGAGAAAGGACCTTCAAAGGACCTTATAGTTTGATACCACAAATTATCCTGCATGCTTGTTATGAATTATTTCTCCTCCTTCTATTTCAATCTGCTCATATAGCCACTTGCGGTCACAGCGGCATTCAGCTCCGCATTTGGTAGAACCACAGGCAGGACAAGCATAGAAACATCCTAAGCAATCTTCATCAAGGCAGTCGCAGAGGTCCATCCCACTGAAAATCAGGAGACCCTGGCTATCGTAGACCTTACTCTTTGCTGGTATCACTTGTCTGTAAAATAAAACACAAAAAATTACATCTCACAAATATAATACTTTTTGAATATTTAACTGAATAAGGTAATAAAAATTTTTAAGGAGATAAAATATTTTGAATTAGAGGTGAGGACCTGTTGGAACGGTCCGTAACTAACCAGGCTCAAGGCTACTATACAATTACCGTGTGAGAAGATGAGATCTAACTCTAAGTGTTAAGACAAAGCCAAAAAGCTTTGAAGTCCATTTAAAAGTCAACTCAACAAAGGAATAGAAAAGGAACTTTGTCCAAAATCAAATATAGTTCTGTTAAAACTATTTCCCTTTACTTTTTTAAAAAAAGAATGGTTAGTTAATATTGTACATTTTATTGGCTACCAACCTCTTTAGTGCTTTGTGAACATAGTTTTATTTGTATTACATTATGCTACAGGAATTGTTTTTATACCACAATTAATCTGTTTCTTGTTCTTTAATGGACTCTAGTAAATTTGGTCTAAAAATACTTAAATGACTCAGTGGAAAACCTTAACAGATGGAATTAATGGCATATGTAGAAATGTTGATTGTATTTAAAAATAATTCTGAATGATTCTATTAACGTTTGTCAATCTATATTTTAAAAATACTCAATCAAAAGTTATATTCTATGCAATTTAGTTCTCTCATTCATTCTATTGACTGTACCATACTGTATTTCTAGTTCAGACATTAAAAAAGGAACCTTCCACTCTCATAGAATTTACTTCATAGCTATCACTCACTGAGATATAGTAATTACATAATATCATAATGCTTTTTCAAAAAGTAAATTATTTTAATTCTAAGAAGTATGTTTCAATTCTCATGCCAAAGGCAGTGCCTTCATCACTTCACTGCCACCTTCTTAGAAACAGCTCTTCACAGAGCTGAAAGGGATGTATTAATTTTATATGAATAAAAATCAAGGCTCCCAGAGGTTCTTACTAATATCACGCCATCTAATTTAAAATATTTACCCCCAAAACTCAACACTTAAGAGAAAAAAGGGGAACAATAAAGATGTGAAGCAGCAAGCTAACATATATCTTAATTAACACATAGCCTACCTGTCTGAGCCAGCTGATGTATTTTTTGTAAACCTTCTTTTTTCTCTTTTAGCAGTTTCTGGAGCAAATTCCGTTTGCTTTCCTGGGTTTGTAAATTGTAATGACCTCAAAGCTTTAGCAGTTCTTCCCTGAATGAAGGTTAAGAAATTAAAAACTCAAACCTTGATAATAATAATAATAAAAAAAAACCCGTTGCCGATGAGTTGATTCGGACTCATCAGGCTACAAATAGTTCAATATTTTACTTATTATTAATCCAGATAAATTCTTAACCTAGAATCTTAACTACAAAGAAGGATAAAAAGTTTTAGAACCCAAGTGCAACAAAATTTAAAAGGTCTATGGATCGCATCAAAATTTATTAGTTAATTTACTGATAACATTTTCATTTTCTGATTTTAGTCTTTGGCATATTGAAGCAGAGGACAGGCAGAGTGACCACTGCAATGGCTGCTGCCAACATGGGAGAGAAGGCAGAAAACTGCTATATAACCCAACGGCACATAACTGAGGTTCCTAATAATGATCTTGAGTCCTTAACATGAAGTTCTATTACTATATATTTATGTATTTTTAAAAGAAGAGAAGTAATTTGGTTTCTAGTTCTGAAGTAGAAATACAATCTTTTTAAAACACTCTGGTAAAACAAAATTTTGGTGCCTAAGGGGTTAAGTTTGTTATTAGTGGGGACAGACACTCCACAAAAGCAAAGGACAGGTGAGGTGGAGAAGACATTTAAAGTGACAGTAATAGCAAGTACCCGGTGTAAAACTGCAGATAACACTGGATCTTGGAGATGGGCCTCTTTAATTATCTTTTAATTAGGTTTATATTTATTAATATAATTAAAAAGAGAAAATTAAGAAAAATATTTCAACAGTAAGAATTATAAAATGATTATTTTAAGTACAAATTTTGAGAAGTGCTCATTTGACATATATGTCCTCGTTCTATATACCAAAGATGGCTTTATGAAATCTTAAGTTGTTTGATATGGTTAAATCTGCATTGTTGCTGTTGTTACATGCTGTTGAGTCAATTCTGACACATCGCAACCCTATATAACAGAATGGAACTGCCCTATAGGCTGTAATCTTTATGAAAGTAGATCGCCAGTCTTTTCTCCCATTGCTGGTGGGTTCGAACCATTGACCTTTCGGTTAGTAGCTGAGTGCTTAACCATTGTGCACCAGGGCTCCTTGTAGGCAAGTGAATGATAAGCTTTTCAGTGGAAGATTAAACAATTTCTGTGGAAGACATAAAAAAAAAAAAAACTGTTGCCGTTGAGTTGATTCCGACTCACAGTGACCCGACAGGATAGAGTAGAACTGCCCCATAGGGTTTCCAAGGAGTGGCTGGTGGATCCAAACTGCCGACCTTTTGGTTAACAGCCGAGTTCTTAACCACGTGCCACCAGGGCTCCTTCCATAGAAGACAGCTATAAAATATTTATATTTTACAATGTAAAAATGTACGCTTTTTGACCACACACACGGCCTAAAATTAGCCTCAACCATGTTAAATACAAATTCAGAAGTAGAGAAGTGAAGGAAACTCGCCACCATTTAAAAAACTCACACAAGAATGGGGCAGTACCAAAGAACAAATAAAGAAAGGCTGAAACAAGAAATAATTATTACAAATCACCTCTCTGATGCTCCTTTTAAAGTAGTAATTTTCAAGTCCTTCAGAAAAGGGGGAAATTCATCCTGCTATCATATAGACTCCTGCTATATAAAATGGCACGTCTCATTGAGTTACTTTGGTATCAGAAAGAAACTAAGCTAGTTAAGTCCTGGCTTCGCCAGAATGTACAGACATCCCTAGGTGGCGCAAAGGGTTTGCACTTGACTGCTAACCTGAAGTTTGATGGTTCAAACCCACACAGCTGTATCATGAAAGAAAAGCCCTGGCAATCTGCTTCCGTTATGATTACAGCCAAGACCCTATGAGCAGTTCTACTCTGTAACATATGGAGTCGCCATGAGTGGGAATCAATTCTTTGACAACTAACAATAATCACAATGTTTGAGCATTAGGAGTTGCTTGAGTCTTAGGCATATCATGTTATTCCTTTCCCAAGCCTTCTTTTTTTTAACCACCCAATATTAACCTTGACTATATGGAAATATTTAGAAACACCATTTAAATTACTTTCACCTCCCCAACATTATAGTCACTGTTTGCTAACAAATATAATAATGTAAATATAATTTCCTTAGAGTTGAACCAAATCCTACGTTGCAGAAATCATATGGCAGAAAAAAAAAGACTAGTATACATACATCTGAATCAGGCTTTCTTCTTTGGCGGTCTTCAGAATCAACATCCACACTTCCATTGATTATCTGCGTACATTTTGGACAAAGCTTCCAACCGGGTACAAGCTGTCTTCCAAATTTTGCACTCAGGAAAGTGGCATCATCTAAGTCAATCACATGCAAATTTTTTTTGGCTAGTTTTTTGTGTATGTTAAATGGGTCACAACAGGACTTCTGTAAATCCTCAAATCTGTCAATGTAAATTTTTGCATGATGGAAACAGATTGTATTGTTTCCAGAAAGTGTCATCCCAGTTCTAAGCTGAAGTAAAAGCATATCATTTGATGACAATTCTTGCAAAGTCTTGAAGCCTGTATGACGCGTATAGTATGTTTTATGGCACTCATTTGTGGTACGAAGCTGGACTCCAACTGAACAGGGATCCATCATTCTTGAGTCTAGCAAATTTCTCCTGTTTTATTTTGCCTTGATATTTTTCTCTAGTAGCTCTCCCTAGAGAAAACATGAAACAGTCAGATATGTGCTGCAAACTTTTACCTGGGAAAGTGAAAAATCATTTGATAAAATTCAACACCTATTTAAAGAGAAACTTCTTAGCAAGCACGGAATAGAAAGGTATTAGCCAAAAGTCCACAGTAACATTATATTTAATCATAAAACATTAAAAGTACTTCCTGTAAGGGCAGAAATACATAAGATTACCTGCTATCATAGCTTCTATTTAACACCATATTCATAGGTATAGGAGTCACTTGGTGGTGCAAATAGTTAATGCACTTGGATGTTAACGAAAAGGTTGGAGGTTCGAATCCACCCAGAAGCACTTCAGAAGAAAGGCCTGGAAATCTACTTCCAAAACATCAGCCGTTGAAAATCCTATGGAGCACAGTTCTATTCTGACACATACATGGTCACCATGAGTTGGAACTGACTTAATGGTAACTAGTTTGACTTGGTTTTCTAATAGGTATAAGGATTAAAAAGGAAGAAGTGAAAAATATTTCTAAAATATGATATGAATATCTACATGGTTCAACATACGAACCATTAGAACGAGTAAGACAATTGAACAAAGATGTTTGAAATCAAATCTTACAAAGGACATAAGAGATTTTTATGGAGAAAATTATCAAACAGAAAGACAAAAAAGATGTTTTAAATAAAATCTAGAAATATAGGAAGCCTGGCTACAGTAAATATATCAATTCTCTAGAAATCCATCTATAAATTCAATACTATTCCAATTAAAATCCCATTAAGTACTTCTACCCCTTTGGAATTTGGCAAGCTGGTCTATATGAAAACAGTGAAGGTCCAAGAAAGCCAAGATAATCTTGAAAAACAATAAAGGAGGATATGCCCTATTTGATATCGATGTACTACTAAAGTTATTATAACTAAAACAGTGATATAGGTACAATATACACAAATAGATCTGTGAACAGATGAGGACTTGGTGTATGACAGCGATACATCAATTGGGAAAGGATTCAATAAAAGATACTGGTATAACTTGCTAAAAAGTCAGAATTAGATCTCTTCCTGACAAATAAAAATCAATTCCAGATGCATTAAAGAATTAAACTTGAAAAGAAAAACTATAAAAATGTTTACAAGAAAACAAAGAAGACTTTGTGACACTGGAGTAGACAAGACATTCTCAAATAAGAAAGTACATCAAAAGAAAAGATTGATACATTTGCTTACTATCTGTGAAAATTAAAAATTTCTGTACAACTCTAAAAGAGAAAAAAACAAACCACATTTCAAAAGTGTTAGGATTATTACCCCAAATACATGAAAAACTCCTGACTTCTATAAATCAATAAGAAAATGACATAGAACCTGTGGTGCAATGAATGACTTAGCATGTCCCTTCTAGCAACAGTCTTTGTAACTCCCACCAAATGACTGAATGGGACCATGCTAATAAAGTATATGGAACCCTAAAAAAGGGATTGGTCAGTTTTGCCATCCTGCTAGGCTTAAAAGAGAGCCAATTTCAGAGCAGGAGAGGATCTCACCACCACCAAGGAAGAAGGGCCAAGAGCAGAGCTTGTCCTTTGGACCTGGGATCCCTACACTGAGAAGCTCCTAGAACCAGGAGACAGAGAGAGCTGTAACATTGAAGATGGCGAGAAGCGGTGGCAGAGAAACAGCAGCAGGAGAGACTGACAGGAGATGGTACAGTGGGCTTCCTGGCCCATGGAGTGAGAAAGCTGAGTGCCTTTAGGCAGGAGGCTTCCTGGAAGAGTAAGGTGATTCTGGGCACTTATCGACAGAGCTAAAAGAGCTTTAACACTTGCCCAAGCAGGGCAGAGGCCAAGGGGCCAGAGAGAGGTGTGCTTATGGCCATGGCTGAGAAGAGGCTGTCCTGATGGAAGAACTGTATCCTGAGCGTTCCTGAACCTGAATTATAACCTGTTACTTCCCTAATAAACTCCATAACCATGAGTATTGTTTGTGAGTTCTGTGTGGCCATTGTAATGAATTACTGAACCCAGCAGAGAAGTATAGAGTGCCATGGGAGGGATGGTGGAGAGAGGAGGCATGTCTGAACTCCACCTCAGAAGAATCAGCTTTGGGCTGTTGCTCCTGATTCTCCTTTGCCTCTGTAAAGTGAGAGGTCAGATACCATCCCTAGGTATTTTTACAGGTGGTGTCAGAAGTAGGATTCTTGGCAATGGCTCCAGACTCATGGAAGCATGGGACTTTGTAAGCGAAAGAACAAAGGTGCTTGGGAAGTAAAACTTTTGATTCCTAAATGGCTACTTTCGTTGTTGTTACCTGTAAAGGATGAAAGTTATGCTGCAGCTGAGGGGAGAAAAGTCCCATCTGGAGTGGCTTGGGGCAAGCACATGACTGTTAAATGGGATGACTGATAGGGGGCCAGGGTCTTCTGGTTCCACCCAGCCTGAGACCCAAGGCTATAAATAAATGGGAAGATAGTCAAGGGTTGGAGAAGATGCAACTGGAATGATTTAAAAAGGATTTTGTGGTTAGGATTATGTGTTTAACTGAATGTAGTATGGATACTGAACAGTTCTATTACCTCGTGTTGTAAAACAGATCTACATGTATGACAGAAATGAATATTGGATATTATAGATTACAGAGAGCGTTAACTTCACCTTCAGCCAATACTTGATTGGATATGCTAAAAAGGGAACTAGGATTTGCCTAGAGAAACACAGGCTTTTGGTTTCAAACCAGTAGTCCTGAGTATAGAGTCGGGGCTTAGGTTGAAAACCTGGGTCCCACTCAGATTTTGCATTTGAAAAGACATGCAGAACCACCCAGCACTATTGAGAGACCAGAACTTTTGTATTTGAAGGAACCAAAAACCAATCTAAACCTGTTGCCCTCGAGTTGAATTTGACTTGTAGTGAACCTATAAGACAGAGCAGAACTGCCCCACAGAGTTTACAAGGAGCGGTTGATGGATTCAAACTGCCAACCTTTGAGTTAGTAGCCATAGCTCTTAACCACTGTGCCACTGGGGCTTTTGCTTTTTGAATTTCAAGCAAGCTGTTTGCTGTTGGATGCAACCAGGCAACAAAAATCAGTGCCCATCAGAAACCCCTTCCAGGACTGGAAGTTAAAAGGAGCCGGTGCATAGACAGCCCGGTATTTTCACTTTTGGTGACCACCTGGGTCCACTCATGAGTGGAAGTAGGGGAAGTACAGCAATGAAGAGACTGGCTGAGTTTGGACATGTTCCATTGGCACCTGTTGACCTAGCCCAAGGGGGTTAGGGATGAGAGAGTGTGAAGGGGCTGTCTGAAGTGCTGGGAGGTCTGTGTGAACTCTCCAGCCTAAGGTTGCTACCCATTGTGACCTAGCTTGGATGGCTAGGGATGAGCTGACCAGAACCCGACTGAATGAAGAGAAAGCCTTCTGACACCGTGAGCTGATGCAGATTGCTGTAATGTGATGACTTGCTCTGGACTGGACTTTGCTTATGGATGCAGATGCTCAAAGTTCCAACTGGAACAGAAGATTCTTCAAGACCAAGGAACACGTTTGTCTCTTCATAGTATTGGTTTGATAGGGACAGGCAATTTAAACATTGACTATCTAATTATGATTGTAAAAACTATAATTGTAAGAGCTGTTAAGTGTGAAAGAGTGGACTAAGGGGGAGGCACTGCTGGACTTGAGTACAGTGGCCAAACCTAAAGTCCCTTAACGGTTTTGCTATGCTGATACCTTGAGAGACTCAGAGCAAGAGAATAATCTTCTCTCAGTTAAATTTTATCAGAGGTCAGAAAGGGTGAGGATGAGAAGAACTACTGAAGAACCTGACCAGATCAGATGGACACCTGCAGCAGACATGAATGGCTGGTACCTGAGTAACCTCAGCCTTAGGACTCTTTTGCCCTAAGGACTGATTGTTAATGACGGTCTTGGACTGGTAAAATGATTGGGAGGCGGAAGTTAATCCTTCGAGTATGAAAGGGTCAATAGCTAAAAGGGGGTGGCCTGTGGTGCAATGAATTACTTAATATAGCCCTTCTAGTGATAGTCTTAGAAACTCCCACAAAATAATTGGGTGGGACCATGCTAATAAGGTATATAGAACCCTAACAAAGGGATTGGTCAGTTTTGCCATCCTGCTAGGCTTAAAAGAGAGCCAATTTCAGGGCAGGAGAGGATCTCACCACCACCAAGCAAGAAGGGCCAGGAGCAGAGTGTGTCCTTTGGATCTGGGCTCCCTACACTGAAAAGCTCCTAGAAACAGGAGAGAGACAGAGAGAGACAGCTGTAACACTGAAGATGGAGAGAAGCGGTGGCAGAGAAATAGGAGAGACTGGCAGGAGATGGTGCAGTGGGCTTCCTGGCCCACAGAGCAAGAAAGCTGAGTGCCTTTGGGCAGGAGGCTTGCTGGAGGAGTAGGGTGCCTCTGTCTACTTATCAGCAGAGCTAGAAGAGTTTTGTAATGCTTGCCCAAGCAGGACACAGGCCAACAGGGCCAGAGAGAGGTGCGCCCGTGGGCACAGCTGAGAAGAGCCCAACCGGATGAAGGACTGTATCCTGAGCATTCCTGAACCTGAATTGTAAACTGTTATTTCCCTAATAAACCCCATAATTGTGATTATTGTCTGTGAGTTCTAAGTGGCCACTGCAATGAATTACTGAACCCAGCAGAGAAGTAGAGAGTGCTGTGGGAGGGACGGCAGAGAGAAGAGGCATGTCTGACCTCTGCCTCATAGCAATCAGCTTTGGGCTGTTGATCTTGATTCTCCTTCCCCCCTGTGAAGTTAGAGAAGGTCAGATGCCATATCTACACCATTTTTATAGAACCCATGGATGCAAAGATGTTCAATCCCCAAGTTATCAGGAGAATGAAAATTAAATACCATTTCTTGCCCATAGCTAGAAAAAAATTTAAAAATCAGATAATCTAGTGCTGGCTAAGATGTGGCCAACTTTTACATGCTCCTTATACATTGGCTGGGGCCTTGGTGGCAAGTGGTTAAGAGCTGAGGCTGCTAACCAAAAAGGTTGGCAGTTTGAATCCACCAGCCACTCCTTGGGAACCCTATGGGGCAGTTCTACTCTGTCCTACAGAGTTGCCATGAGTCGGAATAGACTTGACGGCAATGGGTTTTTTTTTTTTTTTTTAAAACACTGGTAGGAATGTTTAGAGCACTTTTGGTAATTTCTTGCAAAATGGAAGAAGTACATACCCCAGGACTCTGCACTTTTGGTTCTAGGTGTCTGTCCTAGAGAAAAAAAATTCATATGAATACAAGTTATATATAAGGACTTTCAGTGTTCACTGTTTTTGACTGTGAAAAATAGGAAATAACCACAATTATTGTATTATTTTCCAAGTCAGCATTTCTCAGGTATCACTGTTGGGGCAGAAGTATTTACTATTAGAGTTACCAGAAAAAAATACAGAATACCCAGTTAAACTTGAACTTCAGGTAATGAATGGACAATTTTTATTTTAATAAAAAAAAATCTTTTATTTTAATTACATCCCAAATATTTCTAAAAAAAATAATTCACTGTTTACCTAAAATTTAAATTTAATGGGGTATCTATGGTTTTATTTACTAAATCTGTCAACCCTAAATTTACCATGCATTTTTTGCATCTTCCAGCAAGTAAAAGTCTTTCTTTGGTACCTGCTACACATCATGCTCTACCTCTTACCTGTTGCTAACAGAAAGCTCAAGTTATGGGACCTGCACAGTTTAAAATTAAAATGTCCTATCTGATAGAAGAACAAATGAATCAGTCTTAGAAGAAATAAACCGAAATGCTCCTTAGAAGTGAAGATGGCCAGACTTTGGTTTGCTTCCTTTGGACACGTCATTCAGGAAAGAACAATTGCCAGAAAAGGATATCATGGTTGATAAAGACGAGGGTCAACAAAAACGAGGAAAATCTTCAATGAGATGGACTGATACAATAGCTAGAACAATGGACTCAAACATACCAATGGTCATGAAGATGGCACATAACTGGGCCTGACGGTCACCATGAGTTGGAGGTGACTCGTGGGCAACTAAAATAATATCTGATAGAAAACAAGGGAATTGTCAGTTGCAGTAAAAAAAATAAAAATAAATTCTATACACTGATTGGAGCCCTGGTAGTGCAGTGGTTAAGAGCTTGGCTGCTAACCACAAGGCTGGCAGTTAGAATCCACCAGACCCTCCTCGTAAACCCTATGGGGCAGCTCTACCCTGTTCTATAGAGCCATTATGAGTCGGAATCGACTTCGGTGGCAGCGGGTTTGTTTGTTTGGGTTTTTTTTTTTTTTTTTTTTGTTTATACGCTGATTAATACTCAGTAGCACATCAGTATCCCTCACTTGAGTAAACTATCATGGTAAAACTATATCCATCTTGTTAAGGCAGTTTTATGCTTAGAGAGGTCATACATAGGTTAGCGTCCTGATATACCATTAGGCAGTCTGCTTATGCCCTGCCAAAGAAAAGTCAAGCCAGCTCAAGGAGAACAGAATTGCAGGCAGTGATTTTAAGCGGTCACTGTCTTCTGTGGATTACACCCTCTGTTTGCTACTCTGTTACACTCCTCAGTGTCCTCATTTCCAGCTCTTTCTGTCCTCCTCCCCTTACCTAACGTTCTGCAATACAGCTCCTTAGATCTGTTTCATAGCAACTTTCTTTTGCTCATTCTGGTCTGTGTTCTGCCTAGGTAGCCAACAATTAATATTTATTTTATTTTCTGTAAGTGACAGTCAAGCAACTTCATGTTACTCCTTTCACCTGTAGTCTGGTGCTATGCTCTTTCATTACCTACCTAGCTCCTTCCTTAATTAAACAGTCAGAAATGCATTCCTATTTACTGTCCAAGGAACAGCACTGGTATCAACTGCGGACTTATTAAAAATGTAGAATCTCAGGGCTGGCCCCAGTCAGAATCTACATTTTAAAAAGATCCCCAGGTTAACTCATAAGCACATTACAGTTTGAGATGCACTGCTTCAGTCAATTCAATTAAAAAGAAACTGACCACATCTTCTCTACTCTATACAGCATTAAAAAAAAAAAGTGAAGAAACACACACACAGACATGCACCTGTCCTCCAAGAAATCTGACACTAGTGAAGATGATGGGGAAAAGGGTGGTATAAGTCTGATAAAATTGGCATAGAGAAAAATAAATATCTGCTTCAATGGAAAACTGCATTGCTGGGAGCATATCCTTCTGGGTTATCACATTCTGATTATCTGGGTGCTCTATTGTCTATGTCTCAATTTTCCCCTTAGCAAGATTTCACCCTGAGATCCAGGTCTTCAAGTACTTTCAAAACTATACCTAATGAGGTAGGGTTTACAAATAATAACACCTATTTATTTCCTAGACGGGTCTCCTACGGTCTTCCAGTACGGATGTTTGGATGAACTTCACTTCTATACTTATTTTCAATTTCAAATAGCAAAAATTCTTCTCCTTAAAAAACCCCGCACTTCAGACTTTCTCCTCTCCTAGTCTAAATGGCCAGCACTTTTAGTGCCTAAATATAGTAAGCTTTGTGATTCTAAGATTAACATTTAATATTTGTATAGCACCCATGAGAGAACAAAATCAATGTAGAATAGATTTATTAGACCCCTTGTTCTACTACCTACGTAGTAAAAACAAGTATTTGCTCCTCACGTAATTTGAACACTGCCAGCTCAGAGAATTATTCAACTTTACGACTTTAGTTTCAAATGCGCTTTTAAGTATTACCTCTTGCTAGCCATTACCAACCTACAAGGTAGGTAGGCTACATGGATTGAGGAAGCTGAGAGAACACATACAAGACCACAATGTTAGCAAGTCTTCCTAATGAAATAAAATAATTTCATCTACTCCGATCACCCAAATCAGTAGCTTCAGTTATGACACACATACGACACTCATGCCTTTTGCAACGTTAACTTTTTGTGCACGTATCTTCAAACACAAACTACCCACACTAAATGTTAATGGCCATTACAGAAGGATTAAAGAGCCAAGATGATACAGTCTCAATCCTCAAAAATACTCAAACAAAGAAACAAAAAAACCAAGCCCGTTGTGGTCAAGTGATTCTGATTCATAGCGACCCTATAGGACAGAACAGAACTGCCCCACAGGGTGTCCAAGGAGCGGCTGGTGGATTCGAACTGTCGACCTTTTGGTTAGCAGCTGAGTTCTTAACCACTATGCCACCTGGGTTCCCAAGAAGACCCAGGCACAGTTTAAAAAGGTGAGGAGAATTTAAAACAAAAATGCAACCCATAATTCCATTTAAAAGATTTAAAGTGCCAGATACAGTGCTAAGCACAAACATCATCTCATTAATCATTACAACAACCTTGAGGTGAGTACTATCATCTTCCTTTATAGATGAAAAAACTGAAGCTTAGAGCAACAGTTACTGAGCCTAGTACAATGCCTGACATGAAACAGACACTCAGGTATCTGCTAAATCAAAAATCAAACCAAACCAACAAACAAAAAAACCAACACCTAATTTTATATGAGCAATCCCAAAATAAGCAAAAAGCACTACTTTCAGGTCATTTCGGGAAAAATGTAGCAAAGCCTTTAGTTTCCAAACCCCATTTTCAATTTGTCCCTACTTCTCTGTTCCTTAAAGGCTAAATAGAGCAGGAGAGGGATTTCAACAACTGAGAGGTTGTTTTCAGACCAAAAGGAATGAGCAAAGCTCCTCCTTCTGCCTTATTCTGGATGTGGCCAAAATTGCCAAACAATACTCTTAACATGACTGATGTTTAATAAGTAATTGTTAAACGGAACTGCAACCACTCTGTTTAAAAACTTTCACCTTTTCCTAGCATGGCATAACTTGTTCCAATCGCCAAATACTCCAGTTCAAATACACTACCTACCAAACCAAGTTCTTTTACACTTTATACCTTTACATTGTTTCCTCTGCTTGGAATGCCCTTGTCCCTTTCTATGACAGGAAATGTCAACTTATCCCTCAAGGTTGAGCACCAATGTCTTCACCTATCTGGTGAAGTCTTATCCAAATATTTTTGTTATAGGGTTTTTCTTCCTCTCTGTTTGCACAACACTTTCAAAGTGTTTGGAAACTTTTTATCTATCACTTCTAACTGTTGGAAGGCAAGAGTTATATGGTATTATTTTCTGTATCACTTAATGCAAACGAATAACTCCAGGGACTTCCCTTTACAGCGCCATGAAGTTCCTTTTACATAGCACTCATCACATGCTTTTTTGTTCTTTACTAGCCTTTTCCATTTATATTAAGCTCTGTGAGATCAAGGAATCGCCTGTGTCCTGCTCCCAGTGGTAGCTCTCTAGCAAAATACTGGCACTTAGCAGACACTTAACACACATTCTCTGAATAAATATATGTTCAGAAACTGCCAGAATCTCACACCAAGGAGGCCTAGTCTTCCAAAATCAATGGGACTAGGTCCCCTGGATCCTGCATTATTCCCACTACAACCTTCTAGTGGCCGCAAGCGTAACGCCCCAGTTCACACGGTCAATCAAAACGATTCAAACCACGAAATACTTCCAAAGAACACCTACTGCGTTCATGGTACCGGGATGGGAAAATGAACACTACTTGGCTAGGGCTGAGAGGATTCTGACTAAAAATAAAAACGGCAGGTATACGAGGTTCAAGGCCATAATAGCTCTCACCAAGATGTACAAGCCCAAATCATAGCTTTAAGGGCTCCAGGCCTCCCGAAGAAAGGCGACAAGCCGCAGAGGATCCAGAGGGGCAGAGCCTTGACACAAGGGGCCGCAGATGGACTGTGAGGAGGATCTGGGTGGGGCGCAGCGAGGGGAGGTTACAGAAGCCCCCCAGTGAGCAGCTAAAAATCCCCCTTATGTGTCCGGGCCTCCTCTCACACCCCTCCTCGGGGGCCTTTGTGACACCGCCCGGGCTCCCTTCCCACCCAGGGACCCGTCTCCAAGCCCGCGCTTCTTCCCCTAGCCGCCCCCAATCCCCTTCCACCTTGGCGTGAACTCTCCGTCTCCCCAGCTCAGACAGGACCAACGACCTCACAGACCAGACTTCCGGGCCGGTTTTTCAGATCATCCACACGCTACCACTGAGAGGATGGTGAGGGAGGGCTAGAGAGGCTCAGCGCTACCATAAAGAGAAACTCGGGGGAAGCCTAGAGCGGAACGAATCTGGCCTCCCCCAGGGGCGAAAAAGGCTGAGGGGCGTAAATAGGCAAATGATTCAACGCTAGGCAATAGTTGCTTCAGACGTTGACACTCTGTCACCGTCTTTTAGAGTTTAGGGATTAGATCCCTGGGGACCATCTCTTGCAAGGTAGAGGTTCGGCTAATTTGAATTGTATTTGCAAATCTCTACGTCAACTTCTGCGCTCAAATACCCCTACCCCCTGAAGGAGAGTGAAATGAGTTGAAAATCGTACCTCAAGAACAGACCCTATGTTTAAGGTCTCACGTTTTATTTCTTTCAACCAAGGGAAATATATTCCAAAATGCAAATCTCTTATTTTAAACTATAAAGATACCTCTGTTTATTGCTTCAAATCAAATGCAGTCTCCAGGAAGATGTTTGTAAATTATCTGAGGGAAGAAACAGTATCTCTCTTGTATTCCCATTGTCGGCCACAGTGTAGGCACTTATTAATTTTTAAAATGGATTTTATTCATCTAGAATCATTGAGAGCTGTTGCCTTGATTAGGTGCCGTTGAGTCAGTTCCAACTAATAGCACTCTTTGTACTACAACGAAACACTGCCCAGTCCTGGCCATCCTCACAATCATTGCTATGTTTGAACCCATTGTTGCAGCCACTGTGTCAGTCCATCTCTTGAAGGGCTTCCTCTTT